ATTATTATTATTATTATTATTATTATTATTATTATTATTATTATTATCATCATCATCATCTTTTATTCATTAAACATGAAATTCAGCCAGCAGAACATTTAGAAATGTATTATTAATATTAATATTTATTTTATTGATTTTTATTTTATTTTATTTGTTAAAATTTTGGTTGCTGTTTTGGTCTCTGGCCATGCAGCAGAAGGCTCCCTGCACAGGCAGGGAGGGGAAAACAATTGCAACGCTTGGTAGCAGCCCTGAGGTTCTTGGAGAAGTGCGTAAAAAAAACAAAAAACTGAGCGAAATGTAGAGTTTGCAAACCGGACAGCAAAGTCATGCCCCATTGAGCATACGTAATAGGAATGCTTGGCTGGTTGGGTTTCAGCTAAAACAACAAGGAACACACTTTATTTGGAAGTAGACAATGTTGTATTGTGTTCTAAGGATTTAAGATAAAAATCTCCCCAAGTCTACCTCTACTCCTTGGGACTTCAAGGACATTGCTAGTTTGCTTGATTTATGTCCTGCCTTTCATTCTCAGAAGCGGGAGACATACCACTCTTTTCTTTTCTTTAACTCTTGACAACAATTCTAGAAGGTGGAGAGTAGGCTAAGAGAGTGAGTTGTCTGGCTAAAAGTTACCCGGTGATGTGCCATGCTTGAGAATGTACTTGGAACCTAGGTCGTCCTACTCCTAGGAAGTGTCTCAACAATTACTCCCACCTTGGCTCTACTTTTCTTGGCAAAAATGCTCTGAAAAACGCCTTTTAAAATGCAAGTGATTGGTTTTAGCCTACAATTTTAGCATCCCCTGATAGTTTCTCATCCAACCAGGTTTGACTCTATTGTCTTTTTGAGATCAACTAAGTTCAGCTACGTAACATCTAAGGGCTTATTTAAGTATATAGTCTCCAGTAACTTACTCTGTAGCAAAATGCGTAGCACCATGCGGGCAGGGGTGGGATTCTACAAGTGCGCACCTATTCACTAGAACCGGCTGTTAACATTCTAAGCAGTTTGGAGAACCAGTTGTTAGAAGAAATTACTGGCCTAATCCTGTAAGGAAGGCAGGAAGGAAACATTCTGGTGTTGCTTACAGAAACTGCCTCTCCATTAACCCTTATTACATTCTTGGCAGGACTAGACTTCCTGTCTCAGGAACCTCTCTGGAGTTTTCCCCCTCCTTTGCTGGTACTTTGCTTGTGTGGAGTGACCATTCAAAGTTACAATGGCACTGAAAAAAGTGACTTATGACCGTTTTTCACACTTACGACTGTTGCAGCATCCCCACAGTCATGAGAGGCCAGGCGAGGAGATGCGTGCCTTGATGTGAGTGATATTGAGTTGGCCACGCCCAGCCAATAACATGACCACCAAGTCACATGACCACCAAGCCATGCCCACCACCCCAGTCACATGACCACCAAGCCATGCCCACCACCTAAGCCACACCCACAGAACCAGTTGTTAAAAAATTTGAATCCCACCCCTGCATGTGGGCATGGCTTCTGGATTTATTGGGGCTTATTAAGCAGGCATAGGACTGCATTTGAGATTGAGCTGAAATGTTCCCTTCTGGTTTTAGGTTTCTTTGATTCTAGCTTATAAGTAATAAAAATGGCTTTTTTGTTCTGGCTCAATCTTTAGCAACTATTCTAGAAAAACCTGCATTTTCCAGAGTTTACAATTATAGAAAACTAACAGAATAGTAAAGGTTGAAGGATCTGGTTTAGCGCTTAGCAATGTGTGGGTAAAACAGTTAAATCCATCCACGAGAGGTTTCCTGCTGCTTTCCATCAACTAAAAATATACCAAGTTCCTTCAGCCTATCCTAGGGCAGGGGTGTCAAACTTGCGATATCACAGCGGTGTCACATGATGTATCGGGACTTTCCCCCACTTTGCTAAACCAGGTGGGGGTGGGGCCAGCACGAGATGCATCCAGCCCGCGAGCCGCAGGTTTGACACTGCTGTCCTAGGGCATGTCTTCACATATTGAATCATCTTTGTAGACACCCCTTGAACCCTAATTTTCTGGAAATGTGGTTTCCATACCTGTACACAACACTCCCAAGTATGGTCTCACTAACACCATACAGAGAAGTCTAACGGTTGCATGTGTCTTGATGTAATTCTTCTGATGCAGCCCAAAACTTCTGATGCAATCCAAAACCTTATGATGATTCATGTTAAAATTTTGCAATGATCATAGCCAAAACTTTCTCAAATGTTTCCAAGCTATGAACTTGTATTCTCAGTAGTCTTCCAATTTGTGCAGATGACATTGCGATCTCATTCCATCATTCTATCATATCATTGACTAGAAGTCCCAATTTTCCATCTTTCACAAATTTTAATAAAAGTAGCCCATCAAACTCATCATCGTTCAGATCATTAAAAAAAAGCAGAATACTAGCTCCCAAATTGACACTTGTGAAGTGTAACTTGTTAGCATACTACAATATATAGCCTTTCCACAATAAGACCTTATCATTGAACATTTCTTAAATGTATTTCTACCTTCACAACAATTCTCAGGAAAACCTATACATTAAACATGCCTTAAAATAAAATATGAAAACTAAAATTTATCAAGAACCATTATCCATAGTTGATTACAATAACTATTATCAAATTCCTCAAACAACCTAGGAACTAATTTTACTAACTAGACTAGTTACAGCTGATCACACAAATTCCAACTTCCCTGTAGTATACAATGATTTACGTTTGTGCCACAAAATACATGAGCGTATTCACCAGGAATACGCAAATTTATCCCAATGAGTCACATTTCATGTCATTGTTCGAGCTGGTCACACAAAGTCCAAATTCCTTACTGCTCCCAGTGACTTCTTATTTTCAGAATACACCAGGAGTATGCAAATCAACCCAATGCTCTATTAATCAGTACACAAAGAGGATTATATACTGTAAAGTGAGTGGACAACAGTGGATCATTTCAATTGATTCTCCCTGTAGTTTTCATTAAGCATCTTTAATTGAACCAGATTTGGATTGTGCTATATGTACAAACATAAAAATAACATTTACTCATTGATCTGTAGTCTCAAACTCCTGGTAATTTGGCAATAATAAATTGGCAATACTGTAATAGTTTACTACTGCTTTCTTCCAAGATGCTTTTTCAATTTTTAGTTAATTTACATTAAATAGTGTGCAAATGTGCTTAGGACAAAAAAACAAGGCACCAGTAATATGTGTTGTATTTCCAATTATGTAGCATGTTTAAAACTGTTCTTAAAGTTGCAATCACAGTAAAAAAAATATGCAGTGTCTATATAACCATTGGTTAGTATTCTGTGCTTCTCCATGGTGGGGCATGTTAGGGTTCTGGTCAGTCTTTAGAGTAGCTGATTAGAGCAATCTTGTTCTCGAAGTAGGTTCTGCTCGATGTTTTTAGCTTAGCCACAGAATTCCAAAAAGCTCTAGCTGTTTGAGCCAGCAATTAATTTCTTTTCCTTTCTCTTCTTCGGTATTCCTGTTTATATTGCCAGGTATGATTTTTGGCACAAAGCAGTGACAACTTGCTTCCTACATTGACTTGTCAAGAACAAACCCTCCATTACAACATTTGCGGTCTCTGTTGAGGCCATAAAGGTAATCTCCTAACACATGCGTGCTCTTCTCCTGACTTTTTAAAATTTTTTAACATGATCAGAAGTCCCCTTCTTTAGAAGGAGGCAGAAGTGCTTTCAAAAAACTACTAAGGTGTGATTGGCAAAGGAGACTTCTCAATGGCAGGGGTCACCAACCTTTGGGACCTCAGGGACCACCAAACTCATAATTTTAAATCCCGCAGACCACTAATATGAATTTTGACTGATAGTGGCTTGCTGACATTGGTGGGAAAGTTGGTCCCATATTCCAGAGCTGTAGTAGTCACAGAACTGGCCCTTTAGTCATCCCGGAGCAGCTGCTCCTCCACCCGTGTCCACCGGCCTGCCATGGACTGGAGGAGCTGCTGCTCTGGGATGACCAAAGGGCCAGTCCTGTGACCACTGCAGCTCTGGAATATGGGACTGACTTTCCCACCAATGTCAGCAAGCCACTCTGGGGCGGATTTCCCTCCCCTGCCATTGGTCTTACCTTCCAGTTCCAGCTCGCGTGGCTCTACTAAAGATAAAATTTGCACTCGGCTAAAGGGTAGGGGCCAGTGGGTGGGAGGGCCATGTGGGCGGTGCAGCCTTGTGTTCCCGCACATCCTGGATTAATTGCTTTGAGGGGAGTGCTTGGGGGGGGGCATTTCTTTGCGGACCTCCAAAATTTTCTTGCAGACCACCAGTGGTCCCCGGCCCACCAGTTGGTGACCACTGCTCTATGGTACTAAAAGTAGCTGTTTACTTCACAACAAGTAATCAAGAGATCATTGACTTAGGAGAAAATATACAATCCAAACCCTTTTGCTTATATATTTATTATACTTCTTCAACAAATCCTAATGAAATATCCACAAATACGGTCATGGAGGTTTTGGAATTGATTTGTACATGCAGCTTGATGGTTTATTTATCTTGTGGTAGTTCTTCATAGTTGATTTCTTTTTACACTTAAATTTTATTTTAACAAGATATTTAACTGTAACATACTTAGGGTAGAATTGGATATAGACAGACAACTGAGATGTTTGGGGCTGGATAGCAAGTAATTTAAAAACCTTTTTCAAACACTGCAATTAAAAAGTAAATAATTTGAAAATAGTTGCAAATGATCAGCCTGTGGCATAATCTTTTCTTTACTAGAATGCTTCTGGTTTCCATGTAGACCTTGTAGACATTTTTAGAAAATTATTTGAAAATGGATCCATCTATAAAGAATAAAAAATAAAGATATAATGTGAAGTATGTGGAGAAAACTCAGAAGAGCAGAGTAGTGAATAGGTATCAGAAAGCCTTTTTATAAATTGGTGTTTTGTATTTTGCCAAATCTTTAGCGAGGGCCACTTTGTGAGTAAAAAGATTTTCCACTTGTGAAGACCTAAAAATGCTGTCAGACATCCAAATGTGTTCAGAAGCCTGTCCCTGGCTTAGGAAGTCTTCAAAGCAAGTCTTCAAAGCAATCATTATAAACAATTACCTGAATTTTTTCCATCATTACCTAGTGCAGGGTGTCAAACTCATGGTGTCACGTTTTTGACAAATGACGTATTGCAACTTCCCCCCTTCGCTAAAACTGGTGGGCGTGGCCAGCAGTGGTGGGATTCAAATATTTTTACCACCGGTTTTGTGAGCGTGGCTTGGTGGGTGTGCTTTGTGTGTGTGCATGTGCCAAATGTGCAGTTTGCGCAGGCGTAGAGGCATTTGTGCAGGCGCAGAGGCGTTCTAACTCACCTCCTGCAAGCCTGCACTCTCCTGGTCACTTCAGCAGCTGCCGTGCAGCACTCTTCTGTGCCGCGCAAAGCAGCTGCGCTTCAAATTCAGCGGATAAAGGTGAGTATGGGAGCCTAGGTGGGTGGATGGGCCCAAGAGCAGAGCGGCTGAGAGAACCGATTCGGTCTCCGCTGCTCATTACTGCTACCGGCTCGGCAGAACCGAGCTGAACTGGTAGAATACCACCACTGGTGGCCAGTGTGTGACACATCTAGCTTCCAGGCCATGAGTTTGACATCCCTGACCTAGTGTCTATTGCAGTTGTTCTGACATTCCCTCTGTATGAGACAATGTGGAGAGCGTGACCCCCTAACCAGTTAGTTATGTGAAGTACCTTTGGAACTAAAATATATTGCCACACTTAATAGTCATAGAAATGCTTTCGATTAGGAAATTCAATTCCGTGTTGCCTTTTGTTGCTTTGAATTTTCCACCAAATGAAAATGTTTCCATATCCCATCAAGAAACAATATTCATTTACTGTAATTTAATTTAGCCTACCTATGTGATAACAATAGGAAAATTGAAAAACTCTACTTTTAATATAATTTTCCTTTTAATTAGAGATTTAGAGAGGCTTTGTGAATAATACATGGGAATACATTCTGCTGAGTGCATAGGATCAGAATGTACAATAATCAAAATGGTAATCTTTTAGTATTATTTGTTTTTATTACTTACATAAAGCTGGTCAGATCTAATCTCTAAAGCTATTGTAATGAAAATAATTATACACCTCCTTTGAAGAGGGATGCATGTGTTATTTTCGTTTCTTTTGAAATACATAACTTTCACCCAACAAGTAAATTGCTGGCTTTCTCTTCACAAGTCATCATGTTGAAATCAGTGGGAATGATCACAATACCTAACACATGACTGTTTGCTACAATAGAGACAGGGTTTAATAATAATATGCAATTCTGATGAAACAGCTTGCAATACAATCCAGTTTGCAATATAATCCTATATATATTTGCTCAGAAGATTTACTTGTTTAATGGGATTTAGTCCTTATTACACACATGAAACCTTTCATGAAGGCTATATGTTCCCAGTATTGTATTTGGAGTAAAAACTATAACTGAAATAATAAAAGATACTGAAAAGTTTAAGGCAAAAAGAAATTTGATGCAAGTCAGTTAATATTTTTATAAGGTACTTAAACAAAGGAATATCTGGTTTACCATTTAAATAAGAATACTCAACTAAGTATAAAACAAAGCACTAGAATTCAGCATTAAAATGTAATTTAAAATATGTACATAGGAAGATCAACAATTAAAAAACCTACTTTTAATGTCTCACTCAATATCCTGCAATTTGAGACAATAAAAACTAAGTAGTATCTCCTGAGGTTTTATATTTCATAGTTTAGGAGAGACACAGAAATCTCTAGGATGTGAATGGGGGAAAGCAGACTGGTTTGTAAGTACTTGCTCATAACAATGTATCTTGTGGACAATGAGAAATAGAGGGCTGAAATCACTTCAATAGACATATTCTGCTTTAATACACAAATTCTTACTTGCTTTGTCATATTTATTTTTAATTTATTTCCATTTTTTATGTTTGTGGGTGTGCTTTATGAAGAAACTGTTTTGTTGAACTGGAAAATTAGGACTGCAGAAAAAACAATTACTACCAACCTGCCTTCAATCAAGGACCTATATACTGCATGAGTCAAAAAGAGGGCTGTGAAAATATTTACAGACCCCTCACATCCCGGACATAAACTGTTTCAACTCCTTCTCTCAAAATGATGCTATAGAGCAGTGCACAGCAGAACAACTAGACACAAGAATAGTTTTCCCCCGAAAACCATCACTCTGCTAAACAATTAATTCCCTCAACACTGCCTAACTATTTACAAAGTCTGCATTACTATTACTATTAACCTTCTCATCACTCTTTATCACCCATCCCCTCACACTTGTGACTGTACGACTGTAACTTTGTCGCTTGTATCCTTACGATTTATATTGACTGCTTCCTAGTATGATTTGATTGCTTATTGTACCCTACGACTATCATTAAGTGTTGTACCTTATGATTCTTGACTCTTGACGAATGTATCTTTTCGTTTATGTATACAGAGAACATTTGCACCAAGACAAATTCCTTGTGTGGCCAATAAAATAATTCTAAATTCTAAAAAAAAATATCCTAAGATATCTGCTCTGGCAAATCTCTATTGTCATTTAGTACTACATAATTACAGGTAGTCTCAACTAACAACCATTTGTTTAGCAAGTGGATGGAAACTAATCAAGAGGAGAAGCAGGCTGGAATTAAGAAGAAACTCCCTAACTATGAGGACAAATAACCAGTGGAACAGCTGGCTTTCAGAAATTGTGGGTGCTCCAACACTGGACGTTTTTAAGAAGAGACTGGGCAGTCACTTGTCTGAAATGATTAGGATCTCCTGCTTGAGCAGGGGGCTGGACTAGAAGACCTCCAAGGTCCCTTCCAGTTCTATCCTGATTCTGATAACTGTTCAAAGTTACAACAGTACTGGAAAAAGTGACTTATAACTGGTCTTCCCACTTACAACCATTGCAGCATCCCCACAAATCACATGGTCAGTGTTCAGGCACTTGGCAACTAGCCTGTATTTATGATGGTCGCACTGTCCTAGGGCCACATGATCGCTGTCTGCAACCTTCCCAGCTGGCTCCCAATAGACAAAGTCAATGGGGAAAGCTGGACTTGCTTAACAACCATATGGTTCACTTAACAACTGCAATGATTCATCTATCATGGCAAAAAAAAGGTAGTAACCTTGGGCGTGACTCGCATAACAACTGGCTCACTTAGCAATGGAAATTCTGATCCCAACTGTGGTTGTAACTCACTGTATTGTGAGTTTACATCACTGTAGTGTTGAAAGAAAAATCCTTCTAGTTTAGTTCCAGGCTGGGAGAGAGGCACTGGAAATAAAATGGAGGCTAGCTGCTTGGAAAAGAAGGTCCATTAATTGATGAGCAGAACCACCAACAGCATGTGGTTCTGGGGCAGCTGACAAATTAACTTGATTAACTTTATAGTTTCTGAAATGCTGCTGGGGGTTGTATAATGCAGTGAGCTCTGTGTCTTTTGATATTCTAATCTAATGGTGGTGGGTTAATCCTGTTGTGTCCTATCCTTAGAATTGGGTTGGGGGAATGCAAATCCCATCACCTGGAGCTGAAGGTGTTTTGTTTGTGAATAGATTGGGCTGGTCTTTCTTAATGGGCACCAAATATCCATCTCTAAAGACTTCAGGCATCTGCTGGGGGATGTTTTACTATGCAGGAAACCAGGGTTGCTTTCTGTCTTTAAGAGCATGTTTTCTGTATTTCTCCTTTGGGGAAATATAATATTCTGCCTCTTTTGATATTCCCCAAAATATTTCATTCTCTGGGAGGGAGGGGTGTAATTACTTCCTACAAAAGCAAAAAGTTACGTGTGTTGGTGTGCTTCAGAAAATGTTCACCATTCTCAGACAATCAGAGGAACTACATCCACTTGACCTATGACCTGCATCAGAATAGATGTTGGACTGTGGGTGTTGAAGCAGACGGATGTTGGTGCAACTGTCAGAAAGTGAACGCACCTGGTTAAAGTTCTTTGGGATTACAGTTGTCCAGAGCAGCTTATCAATGGAATCTCATCAGCTAATTATGAACAAAGTTCAGAAGCCTGGTGATTCAGATGACTGCTGTTTGCATAGAGCTCTGTCTGGTTAAAATGGGCTTTATACTCAGGGCCACAGTCCATGACAAAAGTTATGTCATGTACATGCAGAGTATGGAGAACATACGACTTTATAAGAAGAGGATGCTGGAACTATTCCAATTTAAGTGTGCAATGCTAAATTAGTAAACTAATTGTTTTAAAGCAGGTATGCAATACAGTCTTTATCTCTGGTCCATCAATGATCCATCAAATTTGCACAATCTGAAGGTAACAATATAAGGCAAAGGATGCCTTTGGATAGTACTATCATGTTCATCAGAGAGGTTCATAGAGTAGAAAATAGGTATCCTGCTGGATTAATCCCACCAATTGCAGAAAAAAAGTTAAGTTTGGAAAGAGAAAACATCTCTGTTTAAGGAAATACTGGCACTTACATCATTAAATGCCTTGTTATTTTGATTGCCAGTAACTTTGCCTTTAAAAGTTTAGGTGATTAGAGATTCCTGTGATTATTCTTAGTGGATCTACAACAAATGAAAAAGCAGCTCAGCTCAAAGAGTCTGATAATAAGAATATGGATATTTCCAATAAAGTTTTTAAATATACCAGATATCCTACAAGAAATACAATTCTCTATTTCTTTTTTACCAGTTTCGTTTGCTGAGAAATGTCGGAATAACATTTGATGATGTACTACAAATTTGAAGAGAGGGAACTGTTTAATAAATAATAGCTGGAGGGCTTTAATACCACGACCTTTTCAGAGCTTCTGTGGTAACCAATGAAGCTAATTTTCCCTTGGACATGCTTTGGCAGTGGAATTTACCTTATAAAGTTGTATGGAGTGGTGAAGATGGATGAAGTAGGCAACATTTTTCAGAATTCTTAATAGGAAGACTGGAATAAAACAAAAGGAATCCATAATGACTATAGAATGGATGCATGCTAAGCTTATCAAATATTTGCATAGTGATATCAATAAAATGAGGTCAGCTGTAGAGAAAGCCAATACAATTGACCTGTCTTTTCTTGGCAACATCAGAAAAAAAATCAGTTAAAATCAGGTGAACATCGTAAGCCTATTATTTGATACTGGATTGTCAGTCACTACAGTTCACCTATATAGACCTTTTTATTTTATTAAGTGGGTAAGCCCAAAAATTTCCTTATATTTCAGAACCACTGCTAAATGAGGAAGAATATAGTAGATTTGAATTTTAACCCTTTTTCTTGTTAATTTTACTACTGACTCACAAGTAGCCGTGTCAGTATCTAGATGACATACTTCTAACTCTTGACCTATTTTGCTTTTTATAAATAAAGCTAATCAGTATTAATGACTAGGATCTAGTTAGTATTCTACTAACAATATTGTCTTTTTAACTGACTGAAATTGTATCTACAAGAGATGCAAACATTGCACATACCATTTAAAGCCCATTTGCAAACTATTCCTTCTAAATCACTCAAATGTTTGCTGGTACAAGGACACACAACATCTTGGAGGGGATAACCCACCAGAAATAAAGTTAGTTCATAGAGTTTTCCATGAAAAGAAATGTACAGATGTATTTGTCTTTACTCAATTATGTATGTATGTCAAGTTGATTGAACTTCAGAATTTTTGAAAGGCTTACATATTTCTCCATTATTTGCAATTTTGCCTGTTAAACAGTTTTGGATAGGTAGTCCTCAACTTACAACCACAATTGAGCCCAACATTTCTATTGTTACGGGAGACATTTGTTAAGCGAGTTTTGCCCCATTTTATGATCTTTCTTGCCACAGGTGTTAAGTGAATCATTGCAGTTGATAAGTTAGTAACTAAAGAATTCAGTCTGAAGTCGAAAAATATAGATGAGAAATCAATTTACTTTCATGTACACCTAAAAAGGCATATTGTACCTTCGCTCCCCCTTCTTTTCAACTTTTTCCCTTTATTGCCATTTTAATAGCAAGGTCAGGGGTCAAAACCAGCCATCCCACCCAGAACTGTAGCCATAAGAAACAAGAAGGAAGAAGATGGATCCAGGAAAATGGGTCAGGGCAGAGGCAAAAGACTAGTATGTGCCAGTCTACAATTCAAACCCCAGCAAATCTACAAGATGCTTTATGTTGTAAAGCCTAGAGCTCAAGAAGGAATATAGGTCTGATGCTGGAGAATTGCCATCAGTGGAAAGCAAAGTTCTGGAGACAGCTTGCTTCTAAAACTAGCCAAACAGATTACCTTTGCTCCGTGATATCCCTTGAAGTTTCCATATGTTCTGAAATTAAGTGCCCTCCAGAATCCGGCCCCTTGTTATTGGGCCTGCCTTCCGAGTTTCTCTGTTGTTCTTCAGGAGTGGATTCCTTGCTGGTTCTTGAGCCTGGCAAGTTCTGCTAGATCAGATCCTGCAGTCTATGAGTATTATAGATTGTTAACATTATGGAAGAAAGCCTCTCTGTTCACAGAATGATAACCATGGTAGATATGAGCAGACACAAAATGTATGTTCCCTAGAAGTGCTGTTTGATCCCTATAATCAACCTACTTATTGTTCTGTTTTTATGAAGCAGGTACAAACACATCTCAACATAGCAGTGGCTTGCACCTCCATTCCCAGTCATCATGGCCTAGCCGTGTTGACTGAGTAAGTTGGCATTTATAGTCCAGCACATCTGGAAGCAAAAAACTACAGTAAGGCTGTTTTTAATATAATATGCATCAAGAGTATGAGGTCAGTTATTTTCTATATGTAATTTTCTAAAACTACATATAGAAGTTAAAGTTAACTAAACTAGCTTAAAACTATATATAGAGACTGAAAGAATTTTGATCATAGTTCCTTCTACTAGTCTTTGGTGTTTTAAGCAGACTTTTGAGAATTAACCTGTGCTCACAAGTAGTTTTTGACTTACCACAATTTGTTTAGTGACTGTTCAAAGTTACAACAGCACCGAAAAAAGTGATTTATGGCCATTTTTCAGTTACAACCTTTGCAACATCCAGAGGTGGTATTCAGCAGGTTCTGACCAGTTCTGGAGAACCAGTAGTGGAAATTTTGAGTAGTTTGGAGAACTGGCAAATACCACCTTTGACTGGAGATTTTACAATATCTTTCCTCTGCCATACCCACCAAGCCATGCCCACAGAACTGGTAGTAAAAAATTTTGAATCCAACCACTGGGAGCATCCCTGTGATCATGTGATCAAAATTTGGACGCTTAATAATTTACCAACTGCGCTGATTCACTTAACAGCTGTTGCAAGAAAGGCTGTAAAATGAGGAAAAACTCACTTAACAAATATTTCACTTAACAACAGAAATTTTGGAGTCAGTTGTGGTCATAAGTTGAGGACTACCTGTATTAAGTCCTCACTAGTGGCAGGATTTTTTCAATTTCTTTTATATTCAATTTGGCTCCAAGTACAAGAGAATTATGGCATCTATCATATCTAACATAGCATAGTTGTGGATATGTAGTTATGTGTTTAGATTTTGTTATGCACTGCCCTCTTCTGGTAAGAAACATAATACATCCACATATTTGAAGTACAGTGTTAGTTTCTTATGTAGAGGATCCTCTGTCATTAATTCTCCACTCGTTAGGAGAAATTGCTAGGAGGCAAATATAGAAAATTCAGCAAGGCCTTCATTTTTCTATATACAGATTTTAGAAACTCAGTTCTAACATCCATAAATTGCAGAAGTGGAAAGCATTTAAACAGCCTCTATATTCACTAAGCTAAATATTATTCAAAACTTTGCTAATCCCTAACCAAGAATAATTAAGTATTGATTATTTTTAATCAAACTACAGGCATCTCCTACTAGGGTCTTATACTGAGCAGGTTGGTATCTTTTTCTGAGTTATCAAAAATGCAATGGTAGCTATATTGGCCATAAGAATATTCAAGAGTTAAAAAGCCACAGAAAGAATAATTTATTAACTATTTTAATAACAGTAAGATTTCGAATTGATTACAATTCTTAAACATGCTAAATAGCAACAGGCACATGTCAATTAGTAACATAATTTTTTTTAAAAAAATAAGAAAATTATGTATGATTAGGAGCAATTTGGATGTTTTCTGCTCGAATGTGGGACAAAAAAGAGGTGTTGACTTCAGCAAGAGTGAAGTGGCATTGGAGTACAGCCTGGTCAGAAATGAAATGAATTTTAAAAAGGATTTGAGGGGCGGAGAAAATAATAACACTACTTCCAATCTTTTCTCCCAAAAGATGAACATCAGAATAATAATGTATATTAAAATAGTCTATAATTGTTATATTGTAGAGAAACAAAACCCAAGGTTAAGTTGGCCCCTTGGTTGCAACTTCTGTCCTCCTCCAAAAGTTGATGTCAAACCATACCTTAATCATCTAAGTAATTCATCATGTTAACTGTGTTCAACAATTTTGCTTTCAATTAAATGAAGTGCATTTTTGACTTTTGGGCTTGGATTATTTACTTGTTGGGAGTGGAGTCTTTCATTCAATACCAAGCAGTCTTCAGGTTAAGCAGGCTCCTGATTTATATATCCTCTCTTGGAGATGATAATACAGTGTATTATTATATTTTGTATATGTATATTCAGGTAAGATTGGTTTCTTAAGTACCTAGCTCTTTTAAAATATGTGTATATATTTTTCTCAAAATATTCTAAGATTTGTTTCTTTTATTTTAACCCTTCCTTCTGACTATTTTATCTACTTTCCCCTGGTTGTTTCTCATTGGACAAAAGCATAAGGCAGAAAATGGCTACATAAAGAAGTTATTTGAAACAGGGAAAAGATAAATGTGTTTCTGCTTATTTTCTCTATACTCTAAAATATAATCCCTTTATGTTTTACAGCAACCAATTTTGACATAAGTGCTGGAGAATTTAACACATAATATGTAAGAAAATTTGAGCTGGGTCAGATCACTGCTAATTTTTTCCACTGGCTAAGCAGATGATTATGAGGAACCTATAAGTAGGACATAAGCAAAATGGCATTATCTGTTATATTCTTCAGACGCTGGAACTGACAGACATAATTCTGCTGATAATTACAGAAAATATATAACTACAAGGACTAATATATTTCGATAGCTATGCCAGGACCTGCCCTATACATTTTGGCATCCTAGGCAATAGTTATATTCTATCCCCCTTATGGGTTAGCTCATCTTCCAGTTTTGTAGGAATTTCAAAAAGAACACTCAAGAGTGTTCTGAGTTTGTGGTTAAAAAAAAAATCAACTTTTTCTTTTCTTGGACATTTTCACTCTTTTTACACAAGTAGTTTTAAGTATATTAGCACCCATTTTTGTCATATGGCAACAATTCAACAAATTTAAGACTTGAGTGGATGTCCTGACTTGCAAAATCCACTGTTACTGCTTTTTCCCCCCTTGTGTTTTTCCAAAGTCTTTTAAATTTTAGAGCTCCATAAATTTGCTGTTAGAAGGCTGGTGCTTACTAGACCTTGGCCTATAGATGCCCCAAGCTTTTGCCCGTTTTATAGCTATATAAATTGGTGTCTGTTAGTGCAGCTGGTGATAGCAAATATGTTTTAACTTTTGGATGATTTCCCTCTTTCATAACTTGCTCTCTAAACTCTCTTCCATAACTCTCAGTGTTTAGATACAGATAATGTAGATGGCATTCCATGCGTAGTCATTTTTCATGTTTGTATAAAGGTATTACAATCTTGGCAGATCTTTTTTCCCCCTGCTGGTTTCAATTTTGCCTCTTCCACAATTGCTGCATACTGAATTGCTATGTTACTTGACTATCCACCAGCAACCTGAATTACAACCTGGTCAGTTATGATTAGCACAACAAATGTCAACACACTACCATATATCTTATATCTCAGCATTAGCAATTTGCACAAGTTATTCACATTTCCCACATAAATAAAATCAGCA